GTTCCTCTGCCCATGTGGAACACTACAGCACCACAATGCTGAGTCTTGAGCTAGCTCCAGACCTGAACTGTGATGTTCTGCAAAAACTTTCTTGGTTTTTTGTTCATTTTGGAGTTCAAAATTGGAGTTCATTAAGTTTATACTGTCAAAAAAATTCTGGTTTTCACCATTTTACATGGGGTAAACTGATTCACTTTACTTTCCTGGTGCTTTATTGGCTATAGGAAATCACACTCCAAAAAGATTATTTGACCTGTCCTTGTGACTTTCTGAGATGGAGATGTCAGTGTCCCCAAGCAATACTTTGTTTCACTACTCTTACTATCTCCAAAGTTTTCCTGAGGGCTCAGTCTTCCTTGCTGTAGTTAAATCTCTTTCCTTTCAGTGGTATTAGTCACAGCCACAGGGAACAGACTATTCCTTCCTGTTCTGCAGGCTTTCATGCACAGAAACACTGCTGAACATCTCTCTGAGCTGTGCTCTTTAAACCCCAACATTCCTGTTTCCATGCAGTTTATTCCCATACATTTTCTTTTCTGATGCTTCCTGCTGCTTTCTTCTGATTTCTTGCTGTGTGGTCTGCATCTTCCTGGGATCAGTGCCCAGAGCTGAATGCCAGGCTGCCATTTGGCCTTGTCCAAAGTGAGCAGAACAAGATCTATTCAAGGCCTTATTCCCAGGTACACACTTGCCAAGGTGTTGCTGTTTTGCCCTGGTACAATGTCACTGCTTCTGCTGACAGTGCACATTGATCTCACACTGAGCAGAGTTTTTGCTGAGCTGGTTACTCTCCATCACACAACGGGGGAACTGCTCATTTCTACCTGAACTACCTTGCACTTGTCCTCAAATTCAACTTTATGGTTGAGAGCTTCCCAGCCCCTGCTCCCTCCAAAGAACTTTGTACCATATTGTAGAGGCTGTTTTTGCAATGTGGCATTTACCAGAATCATTGCCCATTAAACCCCAGATTTTCTCTCTGATAAGTATTATTTAGTTATAATGTGTAACAGCAATTGTAACTTGGTAATTATCAATGGGTTGGATAGCTAATACATATTGGTGGTGTGTAAATAAAGGTAAGAGAGGAAAAATACCAATAATTTCTTACAAGCTGAGTAAAAATAGAAGGTGGGGAGGAGAGACTGAAGGTGTTAAATATTGCTAATATTTACTTGCCAATTACTGTCGTTGCTTATTTAAAATAAGAAATGTTTTGCATATAGTTTCTCATATAGAATGCTGTTCTCTGTATCAAATGAACAAAATAGGGACCTGATTTACTTGGAAATAGCCACAATGATCCTGGCAGATCAGACATCCAGCCTTGCTGCATGAGCAGCGCTGGAGTGAGCACTCACAGAGTCAGGTACACTTCTCCAGAAACATGAACTCTTCTCTACCAGCTCCCCTCACTGGCAGTGAAGAGAGATGCTCAGCCCTAAAGGGCTCAGCTGCTGCTGGGCTTGACCAGGAATTCTTGACCAGAATTTACACAGAGTGTAGCTTCGATTTTTCAGTGCAAACACTACAGCATTGCCTGATTTCCTCCCAGGAGCTGCATCCAGGTCTGGTTATGATCTCTGGATGGGCACATTCCTAGAGCTAATTCTAAATGGATTTCAAGTTGTTTGAACAGTGCTTTTGTCTTCAGGTTGGGCTCCATACCTACTCTATGATGCATGCTTGAGGCAGCTGTCCCAAATATGCAAGAACTTACACAAAACTTGCTCCCCTTTTTAAGGAAAGGGGCTTCAGAGGGGTTCCTCTTGGCTAGAGTGCCACCTCCTGTCCTGCCTCCTGGCCACTTGCTGTTGGCTCTCACTGGAAGCAGCTTCACTGCTGATCACACTTTCAGCATGACAGAATAGACCTGCTCTATTTAATGGATTCTACATTTAAATGAAAAGCAAAAATTAGCTACAAAATGAACTTTCAGTAGTTTGCTGAACTTCAGCTCCGTTCTCAGCCATCCCTCTGCAATTCTCCAGCTTCAAGAGAAGAAAATTAATTCCCTAATTCCTCTAACTTCAGTGTGAATGTAAAGGAAATGTGCAACTTACGAAAGGACATTTTATCTAATTTTCTTTTTTTTCTGTTCTATTTAGTGAAAGAGTAAATTCTGTATTTTTATTTCAACATACCTTATTTTGTACACATTATTTGTCCCAGCCCAGCACTGCAGAGGTGCATTGAAGCCTTCTTGCAGCCCAGCATCCTCAGAAAGTGTGTCAGCTGCACCATGAAATCCCAGTCTGCAGGAATTGCCCCTCTCTCCAGTAATGGCTGTGCTCCAGAAGGAACAGAAATGTGTTGGGGCTTTGTTTACCCTTGGGATTGAGCACCTCTGGTTATCTGGGCAATCTCTGCAGCTCCATGCCCAGAGCCCCCATGATGACACTTGGTCCTGAGGAGCTCCTGGTGCCACCCAGCCTTCTCCTGCCTGTCACTGTACCTGCCCTGGCACACCTGGTGCTCTGCTTTTCCTCAAATAGACCCTCCCCTGCCACCTTGTCCTTGTTCTCTAACTGCTGAGGGTTAAACTGGCTTGCTCCAGCTTGGCATTGTACATCAGCATGCTGTGCTGTGCCAATCTCACTCTGGTTGGCTGTGGCATCACCTTCAATTTATTTCAGGCGCTTTGAAGTGAGAAAAACACCCACAGGCCATGGCCAAGAGCACCAGGGGAAGCCCAAGGAAAGGTGACCAAGCACAGAGGTGACGCAGCCAAGGCGGTTGAGGGGATTCTCGTCCCGTGAAGTGTGACAAAGCTGGTGCCAAGCCGGGTGACAGCCCTGCCATGCCCTGCGGGCTGGGGCTGTCGCACGCTGCTCTCCGCTGCCTGCAGGCTGCACTGCCGCCTCACGCACCCAGCCAGCCCCAGGGGCACACACGACGCTGTCTTATCTAGAGGCGATGTTATCTCATCTAGAGGTGATAACGGCACCAGCAGCAGGGAAATGTCCCTGTCTGACCATCCCGGAGCCACTCTGGCAGCCACCCCCACACTCACAGGGCACCCCTGGGCTCCTCAGCGGGTTTCCAGTGGCAGCGCTTGTGTTTCCAACACAAGATTTCCTGGGGCAGTCTCAGATGTCTCACAGGAGCTGCTGTCTACAGGAGCTCAACCTGCAGCTGGCACTGCTGAGCACAGCTGGCACTGCTGAGCACAGCTGGCACTGCTGAGCACAGCTGGCACTCAATGAGTTCCTCAGCAGCCAGGTTCTGCCCAGTGCTCCTCATGCTCCTGTGGGCATCCTGCCCATCCCTCTGCTCTCAGGAACATGCTGGATGGTCACTTCCCACCCCTGGGCTCTGCTGTGTCGAGATTTGTGATGTCTGTACATCTGTGTTCTGCTTTTCTTAACAGGCACTTATGTGTACGACCTTGTGCTTGAGATAATTTAATGACTGCTTGTCATTTAATATTATTTTTCTTCAGTATCTGTAATTTACACAAACTTAATTTATTTTTCTTTGGAACATGAAAATAATTTACTTGTATTCATCATTCTTTTGTTGAGTAAAAGGTAATTTCATTGAAATACTAAATTATTGGGAATATGTTCATTTTGTCTAGATGGTAAATCCTCCTGAGTACATGATAAATAATCATGTACTGACTTTGCTCAGTATCACAAAATGGCCATGGGGAAGGGATTTTCTCTTCCTAGAGAGAACAAAAACCAAGAAAGTAATAGTCTAGTGTGAAATACAAGATCTTCTATGCCTCCTTATTAGAAAAGTACACCTCAAAAGAAGAAGCATGTCTGAAAATATTTGACTGACAAGAAGGTGGTTGTATATGAAAAACACCAAACTGACAAGTGCTGCTTCTTGTGTTAGGATTTAGGAGCTTCAGAGAGGCTGTTTGAGTTCAAAGTGCTGATGTTTCATGCAGAATATTTTGCTCCTCTTGCTCCACAGATTCCCAGCTGAGTGCCTGGATGGATGGCATGAACTGGTACCAGCGATGACCGAGAGAGGCTCTTCTCCTGCAGGCCTGGGAGAAGGCTGGCCTGGGGATTGTCTCCTTGCAGAAACTGGCTGTTCCTCCTTGTAGCCCTCACAGCAATCTTCAAAGCCACTCCCAACCAACATTCAGGATCTCTTACAAGAAAGGTTGGGCTGGCATAATAGAAGTGACATTCTGGTGCTCATGGGAGCGAGTGAAATCTGTCTTAGGATGTTTCCTTCAGGTTTGTGAAGACTTCAGGAAATCCACTCCTGGTGAATACAAGGAAAAGTATGGAAAGCCTGTAGATTGCATACTATGCTTATATAAAGTGCACCCAGCACCTGACTTCAGCATTTGAAGACTTGTTGAAGGGAAAACCTGAATAGTCTGGAGAAATAAATGAAAATGGAGATCTGTACCTGAAGAAGTCTTGATTTGTAAATCTGGGAGAAATTATGTTTACAGAAGGAATTCAGAAGTATTGTTCTATATGTTAGGTACTCTACTAATAAAGAGTCCCTTGTAAATACCAAAACCACAACACTCAGCTATTAGAGAGAAAAGGAAAATAATCTTGAGGGTGGCTTTGTCTTCAGCAAAGGGGCATTAACTGCATGCCCAGATGTTTCTTTTCCATCTCTTACCCTTCAGTATTGATTTCTGTGACTTTACAGAAGATTAGGTCAGAAAGGAGGTGTGAAAAAAGATACTAAAGAATTATTTCGTTTTCTTCAAGATGAAAACCACCTGAATTCCCATCACTTATAGTACTTTTTTCATTGTTGTACACCAGACTTGTGTCTGGATGACATTTTGCTTTAGCAATTATGTAGTTGATTGATGTGATGTGATGTGATGTGATGTGATGGAAAATATTCCATAGGAGAGTACCTCATCTATTGCATCAGCTGAAGTTTTCAACAAGTTCCTAATTCTTCAGTGTTTGACCAAAGTATGAAAAATTCTATTTTATCAACAAAAGTGAGCATCTTTCTTCATTGTCCCAGAAAGATTCCACTGGAAGGTGAAATCAGAGCAGAGGATGACTCAGTACAACCATTCAGCACAGTTCTCTCTCCAGAGCTCAGCAAATAAATCATTAAATGTCACCGAAGCACCTCTGCCCTGGGATGAAAGGACTCTCCTAGGGCTGAAGATTTCACTGTCAATCCTTCTGGCTGTTATAACTTTGGCAACAATCCTTGCAAATGTTTTTGTTGTCATTACAATTTTGCTGACTAGAAAGCTCCACACACCTGCAAATTACCTCATTGGCTCCTTGGCAGTGACTGATCTTTTGGTGTCTGTGCTGGTGATGCCTGTCAGCATCGCTTACACTGTCACCCACACGTGGGCCTTTGGCCAGCTGCTGTGTGACATCTGGCTGTCCTCAGACATCACCTGCTGCACAGCCTCCATCCTGCACCTCTGTGTCATTGCCCTGGACAGGTACTGGGCTATCACAGATGCTCTGGAATATTCCAAGCGCCGCACTGCTGGCCGAGCAGCGCTCATGATTGCTGTGGTGTGGATGATATCCATCAGTATCTCTGTGCCACCGTTTTTCTGGAGGCAAGTGAAAGCTCATGAAGAAATTGCAAAGTGTGCTGTAAACACAGAGCAAATTTCCTACACGATTTATTCGACTTGTGGAGCTTTCTACATCCCGACTGTGCTCCTGCTGATTTTGTATGGGAGAATTTATGTCGCAGCTCGAGATAGGATTCTGAAGCCACCCTCATTATATGGGAAACGTTTTACTACTGCACACCTGATCACTGGCTCTGCAGGCTCTTCCCTCTGCTCCATTAATGCTAGCCTCCATGAAGGGCATTCCCATTCAGGTGCATCCCCAATATTTCTGGGTCCTGTTAAAATAAAACTTGCAGATAGTGTGCTGGAAAGGAAAAGAATTTCTGCTGCAAGAGAAAGGAAAGCTACCAAAACTTTAGGCATTATTCTGGGAGCTTTCATTTTCTGTTGGCTGCCTTTTTTTGTCATATCACTAGTCCTACCAATCTGCCAAGATGCCTGTTGGTTTCATCCCATCCTCCTGGACTTTTTTACCTGGTTGGGTTACCTAAATTCATTAATCAATCCAGTCATTTATACAGCTTTTAATGAAGAATTTAAACAGGCTTTCCAAAAACTAATACTTTTCAAAAAGTGTTCCTCTTGAGACTCTACTCCTGTGTAACTGACCCTTGTCAATCTCACAGCCTACCTGAAAATTTCCATGCTTTTATTCCCAAGGAACTGAGTGGTAACTGCCATCTCTGCTACTACCCTGTTCCATGCATGTACATTTCTGGGAATTTCTTGCCAATTTGATACTTTCTGTCTGGGATTGTACATGCCATAACAGAACTTCTCTGTGGTCTCTGCAGTGATCATGTGTGTATATAAGATCAATGACACATGAAATAAGCTTTGCAATGAGGCAAGGTGTGTGAACCAGGGAGTTTGTCTTGTGGGATGAGGTGACACATTACCCTGATGGGAGGAAATTGTGTGTGTATTTCTGCTGTATATTATTAACCATTTATGTCAGCTGAGAGAGTTTCTGGAGAGCAGGATCTGATACTTATATTTTCTATGGCATGTATCTTACCCATGTGAAGCTGATAAAACCTGTAATTCTTTCAGAAGATGTCTGACACAGCCTGACTATAATCAGGAGCAGGGCAGAGCAGCATAGCACAGATCTAAGTTATTCACAAATGCTGCATTTGAAGTTATGCTTTTGGTGAAGTGTAGAAAGGAGACAATTTAGTTGAATTAATTATTACACATTTTATCATGAATAGAACAGCCAGTGAAGAAATGCTACAAAATAAATAGCATGAAAATGATTGATCTTATATTTCTGTCATTTAACTTTTTTGCATGCATAAACTGAAAAAGGAGAATATGGTGAGTGCCAGTGTGGAATGACTAGGACATCATAAAATAGCCAGAAGGTTCACTGCTTGGTGACAAGATGTGGGAAGTTAGACAGGAGAGAACAAAATGACATACCAAGGAAAACTTTCTTAGTAATTAAGGTTGTTGGGATGGATGTGGCATCCCTGTCTCTGGAATCCTTTAAGTACTGGTCAAACAAACTCAGGGATCACTGTTGGGACCCTCTGCTGGGGTCACAGAGGAGGTCCCTTCTAACCTGCCCTTCTCTGCCTCTGGGATCACCTCCCTGACTGGCAGGCGGGGAGCTGGCACAGGGAAGTCTTGGATGAAGTCAGCACACCAAGTGGTGCAGCCCAAGTTTCATGCAATGTTTTAGTCTCTGGGCATTGTACAGCAGAAGTGTCATGTCTACACTGAATATAAGAGCCTCACACTGCTTAGAAAATCACCCCATCATCCTTCTGACCTCCCTTGCACCTCTCAGCCTGTCCCAGTTCATCTCCACCACCCGCTGCTGTGGCCATCCCAACACCCTCCACCACAGTGCATGTCCACTGCAGCTTTCAGCCTCTCCTTTGCATTTGCAGCTCAGCTCTGCAGCTCCTCCCTGTTGCTGGTGCCTCTCCTGAGGATGGACCATGGAGTGATGTCCCAGGAGCACCCACCTGCTGCAGAGTCAGACAGAGCAGCTGTGTGGTGTGGTCCTAGAAGGGCAGGCCTCTCACTGAGGGCATTTGAGGCTGCTCTGTTTGGGACATGGCTCCTCCACCCTCCCAAAAGGGCTCTGCCAAGAGGTTTGGATGATGCCACTACGTGGCCTTGTCCATGCAGTGTCCTCCCACAGCGTGTCCAGAGTGGCACTGCCACATCTTGAGCTGTGCTGCTCAATGTCCCAGCATTGCCTGGGACACGTGAGCTGACACAGCCCCCAGGGGAGGGCTTGAACCATAAACCAGGGTGGAAAACTGAACTCTCACACCTGAGGCCAGTCCCTGGTACTGTTCAATGTGCTGTTACAGCAGCAATCAACTTCTCATCCTCCTCTGATGATGACAGTCTGAAATGTTCACCTTTGGGCCAGCTTGTGATGACTTCCAAGATCCCTGGGTGATTCACCTGCTCAGTGTGAAACATAAAATTACAGATCATGGTCCTGGAAGGGCCTTTGAGAGGCTGGCTAGTGCATTCCCTGCCTGTGTCAACTGTACTTTTGTTATCTTCCTGTATTTCCTACCCTTGGAGATTTCCAATTATGAACAGAATGGCAAGATACAGCAAAGGAAGATGATCCACCACTCTTCTTTGACACTGTTTAATTCAAGATCAAGCAAAGTAGGGCCTTTCTTTGGTTAGATTATAGGTTAATTTTAAAAGGCACATGGTCTAATATTACACCATTCTTATTGTTAGTAAATATTTGATAGCATGCCTTAGTAATTTATATTGGAAAAAACAGTGATATGGAACTGGCAGATGAAAAGACTTGCTAGAGATGATCATAAATTAAATAACACCCACAGCCTCTGAGTTGAAAGGAGGAGACTCTCATGTCACAGAGATCAATGTCCATATTTACCATTTTTACAATGCTCTGTGAATTGCAGTCCAGAGCACACAAATGTATTTCACAGAAGGTAGCTGAGGGCTGAGTGATATCTCAGTGCCTCTCCAGTGAAGCTCTTGCAATATTGAGCACAAAGATAAGTTAAAACATGTTATGTTTGTATAGAAGTACATAATGATATGTCCAAGAAGATAGTTATTTAAATATTATAATATCAATATTATCAATTATTTCAATAATATTATAATATTAGTTATTTCAATGATATTATAATATCATTCAAAATCATATTTATTGAAAACAGAAGAAATAGCTAAATATATATCAAAGCATGTGTGTTCACTGCAGCACCCTGCATTTAAATTCCAGTGCAGGTTATTTCTACAACCAGGGAAGAGGCAGAGTGTCAGCAAGGAGGAGTCACCATGACAGAAACTGGCAGGACAATGAATGTGGAACATGATTACTCCTCCCAGGACAAACCTGAACCTTGCCATGTGAAAGAAATATAGCCACTGAAAGCCTGTGCTTGAAGCAATCCCACCATGCTCACCAAACTGAAAACAGCCCCTTGTCAGGGGGGTACAAAGGAACAAATGCACAAAGGAACAAAAGAACAATATGTAAGACTACTTAAGTATATGAAGCCCTATTGAGGAACAGATCACATCTTCACAAACAAACACGCCAAAAGTCCTCTTCCTGTTTTGTATATGTAATCATTTATGAAATGATGGAAATTTTTTTGCAGAACACACTTTATAACACAGTGTCAGAATGCTTTCATTGACAATTATTTGATTTTTTATGACAATAATATGATTTTTTACCACTCTGATATTCTAATGCAAAAGGTACTTTGGTACTGGGAAGATTTGATGCTTTGTACTTTCCTGTCTATTCCATAGCAGTTAATGATGGATAGACAATTTCAAGTTTTGAACTACCATGGAAACTACTCCGTACCCTGCTTTTCTTTTTTGAGTTCACAACTCCCTCTGCAGTAAACCTTGCCAGTCCTTGAACAAATGTTAAAAGAGACAGCTGTAGCTATGGTGCCAATCTTGAAATTATATTGGCAAGCACCCTTGGCATCCTTAAATGCACCCCTTCTGGCTCCCTGTGTAGACCTAATTTAGCTGACATTTTTAAGATGTCTGCTCCAGGAAGAGGTGAAACATCCCCTCAAACCAACTGACTTTAATGACATTATTTACATGACCTAGGCTGCAAGATTGAAATGAGACTTGTGCAGAAGAATCAGTAGTGAAGATGTCTGATGTATTCAGACCAACCCTACTCATAGTGTGTGTAAATCCTGTTTATTATTGCCAGCAATTGCCACTCCCCATCCTGGTGTTCTCCAGGTGTGTCAGGTTCTGGCTCCCTTTGCAGCTGGTGAAGATGGATATGAAAACCCTTGGTTTGAGGAGAAGGTGTTCTCACTGGACTGAATATGCTTTCTGACTGAGAGGAAGATGGCAGCAGTACAAAATAACAAGAGATCAATCCTTTTCTTATGTGCTTCAGGCTTCTCAGTGCCTTTGTTACCACACCTTGACATGGCTGCAGGCCTCTGTGGGGGCTCATGGTGGCACCTAGCTGATTCTAGGAACAGGAAACAGTTATACACACAAAACCCCAAACCCAACAAAGCTTACATTGCCATATAGACTGCTGACAATGATATGAGACTAGCAGGCCATGCAGCACTTCTGTCCACACAAGCATGATTCTGTTTCTTTTTCCCTGCTTGCTGTGAATTTAATACTGTTCCTAAACTCTGTGTGGCTTCTAGCACAACCAAGGCTCCAGCTCTGTCAGGAGCTGTTAGAAATTAATTAAACAAATATTAGGATCTTATAATGACCCCGATCTTCTAAATGCTTAAAACCTGAACACCTGGTATCAGGTAGCAATAGGAGAATCTCCATTTCTAGTGTGCAGAGAGAAGCAAGAACCACTGGCTTAGAAAACAGTGGGCTAATTCAGCTCACTAGAGGCAGAGAAGTATTGACTCTGAGTTAGTTGTCTGCCAGTTTGATAAACAGAACAAATGCCAGAACTGGTGCAGAAGAAGCAGCATACACAGAAATAATTTTAGTAGGGACATGCATGTATCAGCAGCAGCAAGATCAACTCAGACACCTCACTTAAATTCACCATACAAACAGAGGGAGTACAGAATAGCAAGAATAGCTGAAGAGTCAGTTCAGGGACTTCATGAACTGGAAGATGACTCCAATAGACATTTTTAATAACCACTGAGAAATCTGCTCTCTGTAAGTTTGGCTAATCCCTTTTGAATCTCATGCCTCTGGTGTTCATGGCATCCTAGAGCCATCCACTTCTCACGTTATCAAGCTGTGCATAAGATGCATGAGTTACTTTTATTTGTTTAAAGCTACTACACCCATATGGATCCTCTGTCCTCAGACACACTGGCAGCTTCTGCTGCTTCCCCATATCATTTGTGATTTTATTGTGTTTGTCATCTCTCCTTGCTCATCATCTTTGGTCACACCTGCCCACATTACTTACACCACACTCCCCTGGAACTATGCAGCCTTTCTATCAACCATTGTGGGGACATCTGGGGGAAAAGTTTTCTACCAGTGGTGCTGGCACCCTGCTTTGGGTTTTGGAAACCCAGCACCCACGCTTCCAATCCAAGAGATAAGCATTGCAACCATGCCTCAGGCTTCGGTGAG